AATAACTACCTCCATACAAAACCACAAACAGCATCTCCTCCCCATGATCCAGCAGCCTTCCATCAACTAACACCTCTTCCACAGCACTTGATGTTTGCACAGGATTTGATCATTCACATGCATCACTTCTGTCTGTGGGGAAGCAGCAGCCACAAGAAGCAGCCAGCTCTGTTGAAGCACGAGCAGAAGGGCGAGGGCACAGCCATGTGCACAACATATTCACAACTAACCAGACTGCCCATACTCTAGGGGAAAAAGAAATAAACAACCCACATTTAATTGCATTGACTTTGCTCATGGAGATCATTAGGGCTCCCCTAAAGGAAAAAAAACCAAAACAAACAACTTGCAGCTAAGACCAAGGTTTGGCAGGCTGAGCCTTGCTTCTGTTCTGCCAATATATTTCTGAAAAGCTCCAAAGAGAGTCTGTAGGTGAGGAGCTTGCAGCTTGGCTCACAAATGGGCAAGCAGGCAAAACAAACGTTTCCAAGTCATCACAGCTCACATCTTTCAGGAGTTGGCCAGGGGATCTTAATGGTAAGAAGGAAGATGTGCAAGGTATGCAATTCTGTCCGCATAAACAGCTTTGAAAGCATCTTAACTACCTAATTAAAAGGAAAAACATAACTGTATCTACAAGAGCTTAGCACAGAAGATATTACTCTGGTTTTTGTCATCCACTGCATAGAAGCCTCTCTGGATTTTGCTTCATATGAAGCCTAGGACGGAGCTTGTCATACTGGCACATAATAGAGAAAACCAAAATAGATATTGGATTGTTCCTTTAATTCAAAGGACAAGCAGATAGTCATGCAATGTTTACCACTGAAGGGCAAACAAGTCAATGTTTTCCCACATGGGCCATTTTCCCAACACTTTACAGCACAAGTCCAGGACTCCAAACACAGGAAGCACAGACAAAGCTCACCCTGTGGGCACAGCCAGCACTTACAGCCAGCTGTTTCCACTGCCCTGCTTCCAAGGTCTGAACCACCCCCCTTCCACCCCCCCACCATCCCAACAGATGCTATTTACTCCCAAGCAGGAGCAGAGCACATGATTCAAAATTTCACTGTTAAGACTTAGGAGAAAATAGCAATATTGTTAAAAAAAATAACAGCAATTAAAACAGTGAATAATATTAAGAGAATCCAAACACCCAACCTATAATAATACTTGCCAAATAATATTTGGTAGAACATAGTTTTGCTTTACACTACCACACTTCTGTCCCACCAACAGCCCTACATCAAACTCCAGCAAAACAAACATAGAATACTTAGAAAGGAAAATCTACTTTTTCTTATTGTAACACTGTAATATGATGGAAAGTACAGTGATAATAGTGGGGTAGCAATGTCTTCAGCTGCAGCAAATCAGGGTAAGCCCAAATGTAGCAACTGTGGAGACAGAAATGAAGGCAAAAAGCTGCTTACCTTTAGAAGACCTCAGGCATAGAATGAGCTCCAGCAAGATACCCTCACCTCCACTGCCAACCCTTAAATGAGGTCTGGGAAGGGCTGGATCCTGGCTCCACCCCTTCCAATCATTGAGGTACATTGCCTGCACCTGAGCTCCCCTGAGTTGGCCCTGCCTTCCCACCAGGTGCTCCATCACTGCTTCAAGCTGTGACTCAGCATTTCTGCTACACTTACTTACAAAAAGAAACAAGAAACTCTCATTTTAAATGCTTCCAGAAGAAGAGGGGGAAAAAAGAAAAAAAAATCTAGTTTCTGCACACTGATAGAGCTGGGTGGGCCATACAGACCCTATCATCCTCCACCCATCCACCTTCCACTTTACGTTCTACCTTAAAGTTTAAAGGGGGAATCAGAGATATCTAAATTATTTAATTAAAACCATCTTTGTACACTCCACTTCCAACTTAGGTTTCGTTTCCAGTCTCAGAGAAGGAAAGCAATAACTAATGCAAGTGAATTAGTATTCTACAGCATTATAGCACCTGAAGTGTATTTATAAACAGGAAGATATCATTAAAAAATTAGAAGAGCTCCCAAGCTCAGACGGAGCATGCAATTAGAGTTGATTATGAAACTCTGCCACCATGCTAACCCTACCAGGAGAGACTGCTGAATCAGTACCCAGAGCTCTCTTCCAGTCCTTGGGAAGAAGGGGACAAAGCTGCTGTTCCCTTCCCCCAGGCCTCCAAGGACAGAGCTCAGACTGCAAAGGGTCAGAATTAATTTCATGTGGGCCCACACATCTGTTCTGAGATTTAACCTTTGTCTTCATCTGGTGAAAGGTGCCAGCTAATGAGATCTGCTTCAGGGTTAGGCAGGGGAGCACTGAGGGGTTTATTAATACAGCAGGAACAACTTGGCAGTGAATCCAAGCTGCACTGCTTCCTATTCTCACTTGAAGCGTGGCAGCCACTTTGCAACAGATTTCACTATTTTCTAGGTACTGAGCACTGCCTTCATTTGATGGAAAATTGTGATTAAAAATGATAATATTACCATGTTTGCAAACCATATAGTTTTTTTTTAACATTTTTTGCCATAGAATATTTTTATAGAAAATGACTACTAAGAATTGCAATAGTTGTAAAAAGTCTCTCTAGCTTCAACAAGGGAGAATTTCTTTTTTTTTTTTTTTTTAACTGGTATCACTGAAGTAAAGCTAAGGCTATAAGAGATGCTAGTGTCAGGCATAGTGAAAACTGAGCATACTTGAAGGATAGCGGGTCAAAACCTCTCCTCCAGAAAGAAAGCTTTCAGCAGTCAAAACATCTGGATTGATTATTTTACAGTTCCTTGCTCTACAGCAGTCTCAATTCACCTTAAAAACCTTTCTGGCATTATTTTTTGCTCCCGTACATGAGCATACTCTGGTTTGGTATCCTCTGATGACAGCCCTGGAAATTTACAGCTCTGAGCAACACTTCTAATGCCCTGACTCAGAAAGGGCCTTCTTGTCAGCACTTTCCTTGGCTTGCAAGGACAAGGTGAGGACAAAGCCCGCTCTTCTGAATCTGTTTCTCCCTCCCACAACTAAATGCAACATTACAGAACAAGCGAGTGGAAACAGTTAAGGAACCAACTGCATTAAGGAAAACACCAAGCACTGATTCAATTTTATAGGGAACTGCCTTTAGATCATTTTTACCAACCATTTTTACCACTGAAAAACAGTACATATACCACATATACAAAACCACTGCTGATCACTGCACCTCCAGCACATTGGCAAAAACCAACAAAACCCCACGCAGCCTACAGACTTGTTACAGCAGGAACTATCCTCAGCTCAGCAAGCTGAAGTCATTGGTTATTTATACTCTGGCAGTGTAGGTGGATAATTAGTACATAATTTGAGGTTTTCGAGGCATGACAGCCTGTTCTGAGAGCTGCCCCTCATCCCGATCCCATCTCTACCACAGATCTCACGACACTGTTGCACATGAGAGAACTGCGGGCTCTGCCAGCCTTATTAACTGCCTCCCAGCTTGAAAGCACCACAAATGTTTTTTTTTGTTTTTTTTTTTTTTTTTTTTGTGCTCTTTTTTGGGGGAAGAAATTATTATTTTTCCTGAAGTTTGGACTCAACACTGCCTTGCATCAAAAGCACCTGGAGAACATGGGTGGTACCGCAGGGGGTGAGAGGGACCCAGCACATAAGGCACAAGCAGCCTGCAGAGGCAAACAGACACACCTGTGTGCCAGGAAAGTGAACTAAGTGCAGAAAGTGTCTACAGACAGCTCTAGCACACACACTGCAGGGAAGATGCAGCAAAAAAACAAAGGAGCGCACCCGATTTTTCTGCCTCCTACACCACAGCACTTGAAAACAGCACTGAAGACCTGGGAAGGGCTGCAGTTTCTCAGCCCTTTCAAAGCACACTGTGACAAAGCTAGGGTTTCCTCACGGTACCAGCCAGAAATACAGACTCTGCTCCCACCAGGCTGCACGTGTTTCTCCTCCCATCCCGTCGGAGACGGCTCCTTCCTGCTATCCCTCACTCCCCTTCCAGAAGCTTCTTCAGCAGCTGCACCCGCTCCCCACGAGGTGGCAGCACTGCAAGATGGCGGCCGCCACACACGGCGAGCCCGCCCTCAGGGGATCCCACGCCTCGCTGCTGGCAGCTTACCTTCAGTGGGATGGAGTCAGCACAGTGCCGCCCTGCGTGCTCACAGAACCCCTCCACGGTGAGGGAAGAGCTCTCAATGCTTTTGAGCTACAGAGTGCTCACTGCAAGGCGTGCTCTGGTGCTTCAGCCTGTCGTGCAGCCGAGAGCAATTGGTTGGCAAATGGCGGCAGCCGCAGGGTGTGTGCAGCCACAGCTGCTCCTCACCAGGAGATCAGTGGCTTTCGTGCCTCGTGCATGGAAAGATCACAGCTCTGCGATGCCTGGAAGCTGAGCTCTGCTCCCTTTATCCCTCCATTTGCTAAATGCCGGTTAGCTGAACGGCCTCCAGCAAAGAATTAAAACCAGTGGGATAAAATGGAGCATAATTTCTTTTTTGTACACTGACTGGAGAACCTCTCCTGGTGCTGCCCGGTGACAGGGATGCTGCTGGCCATTGCATTACCTGCATCCCTCAATGGATACAGATTTGATGGAGGCATCCATGATGGAACAGGGCTTCCAGAGACCGATCCAAACCTCAATCCAGAGCTACTCCACTGATGAGGAATAGATGTCACCCAAAACTTCCATTACAAAATATTACCTCTCAGCATCTTAATAAATACACTTCCTTCTTACTTTGGACCGATCCCTTATTACATTTCAGGGCTAGCTTGCAGAGGACAGGTTCATTTGCTAATACATGAATCATTATTGCTTTGAGCCTCTGAGCGAGCGTTTTTATGAGCATGTCTCAAAATGTATTTGATTGCTGTTAGAAATCATTTTGGTTCAGAGTCGACAACCAGGCCACGCTAAGCCAATATGCTCTGCCTGGCGCTGTGAAAAGATGCTGTGAGAATTTAATTACTAACTGCCACTTACTGTGCATATGGTGATTTTTTAAATGCACTTTTTTTTTTTTTTTTTTGCCTCTAAGATAGAAACACCAAGTTATTTAATTCCAACTTACTAAGATTTCTGCCTAGCAGTCCCGATAAAATTGTTTCAGATTGCATACCGTACAGAGAACAGCATCCTGCATTTCCCTGTCCATGAGCTACAAAGGGAGTCCTTCATGCTCTCCTGTGTAAGCCTGGGTTCCACAACTGAGAGCTGAGTTACTTCATTGCTTTCATGTAACAAAGATTTTGGCAAAGCTTTTCTGTGTACCTTACCATGGCACAACAAAACATCACTGCAACAGAAGTGAGTTCTGGCTGCAAGATCCTCACCTTGTGGAAGGGAGGGAAGGATGCCAGAGGTGCAGACCATAAAAACATGTTAAAACTAGCTTAAAATCCACTCACTCTTTGCTTTTCTTCTCTTTTTTTCACTTTTATGACGGTGCTGATGCCCTTTTACTGTTCGGTTGCTGTATACTTCTGCTACACAGAAGTTCTATGAGATCTCTGATATATACACATGGAGTAAATCTGAATCTTAGCCTGGAATCAGATTTCACAAGCGCATGAATAAGAGAAGGAGGATTTTTTTGAAAGGTCTCTTAATTAATGGTACATACAGTACAGAATATAGCTTGTGGAAAATTCAGCCCTTGTATGCTTCTTTCTGTAAGACAGAAATCTCAGTGCATGAAGACTTCTCTAAGACAAACTTTCTCCAGTGGACTTAGATACAGGTAAGAAGCTGTAAAAGCTGAATGCTTACAGGGATGGAGAAATGAATCACTTAAAAGCCTACATTCTGCTCTGGAGAGCAACTCAGAATGACCTACACCATATAATAAGGTATATTTATACATATATTTCAATCAAAATCTCTTCAGATTCAGATTTACAAAAAAAGTAACTACTAACTTTGGTGATTTGGACCTCAGCTGACCTGGCTGACTTGCATTTTGCTCCCTGGCAACAGACTTTCTTCAGAACTCTACCTTTATGGTGTGCAATAGGGGAACATCCAATGTTTGCGTAGCCAAGTCCCCCTCATGCAGCAGGCAGTGGCCAGCCAGGTCAGAACCTCATTCTCCCAAAACCATTCTGAACAAGCCAAACATCTCGCTAATTGCTCATTAGTAGAAAACCATCGCCCTTGCAATGAAAATAGCAGTTTCTTCAGTTCAAACAAATCATTTTGCTGATCAGTTTCCTCCTTCTCACTGATAGGTGGCACCATTTTCTGCACAGAATGCCAACGCTTGAAGCACCTTGTGAATTTCAATAGCTTTTGGCAAATGCTTCACTGCAAGCTTACCAGAGCACCAACCTATGTGTGTTTTGGAGCTCTGTCAATGGATTGGACAGATTGCACTGCAATAAACTGCAAAAGCAGAAAAATCTTTCCTGAATCCTGATTGAAGTCTCTTTATTAAAGCTGAATTATTCGTGTGAAGAAGCCAGGTCCTGGTCACTTGTTGAACTGCTGTGTATTGTGTCATGCTTTCTAGGTTGGGCAGTTCAGCTCAGCTTCCTACGTTTAATATCCACTTCTCCAATTCGAGGAAATCCCAGGATGCACTGTCCTTCCCTCATCCTCTTAGTTCCATAACTCCCAAAGACAAAACTAAATTAAGAACTTTTCCTTGAGTACTTTCTGCCAGTTGGCCTCACCTGAGAAGTCCCACTGGTGCAGCCTCCTTTGGCAGCAAAGTAAGGGCCATATTAGGCTTTTGTTTGGCTTCTCTAAAATAAAACCTTCACACACCAGAATTACTTCTTTTAATCAAAGGGCCCTTTTCCTCAGTGCAAGTCATCTGTATTACTACCCCCTGAAAAAAAGCCTACACATTTACAATAAGGAAATAAGATGATAGAAAAAGGTGAGAACAGTGTTAAGGGAAAGCTAGAGACTGATTAAACAGTGATGACGAGCTTATAATAAGAGAATATGGCCTGTGAAAAAGTTGCACCAAATTTTCATGAAAAGGACTGTTTTGTTTGCTGGCACTGAGACAGGTTTTTGGATTTTTTTTCACAGGTTCTGAACCTTTCTTACGTTCTAGCATAAAAATATATTTGTTTGTTTTTTCCTTACCGTTATGGAGAGGAAATCACTTCAGTCCCTCTTGTCTTCTTTAAGTTCCAGCTGACCAGTCAGGGTGCAAAGTCTGCCTGATACAGGTGATGGACTGTATTACTTGATCAACAGATAGACAAAACAAAAAAACTTGCCAAGCAACACGTAAGCTTCTCTCTGCTACTGAGTGCTCAGTTATAGGCACATATATGTGATTCATGCTTGATTTACAACAAATTATTGATTTAAAAAAGATAGAGGAGACACTGCCTTCACAGTGAATAATCTGAGACTTCTGATGACTTCTGTAGTGAAATGTTGTCGTACGCAGAACTGCTGACAAAATATTTTCATGAACCTAATTTTGCTGGCTATTATTCACAGAACACTCTTTTTAATAAGCATATGGTACCTTTTAAAGACAACATTTTTCCTTCCAAGAAATGCTGGATTAGATTTTAATAATAAATTAAGTCCGCAGAATACCTTAGCTAGCAACAGAGCAGTGTTTCTATGCACAGTCCTCAGTGTGGATTTATGAAGAAGCGCCCAAGCACAAGAAAGACCAATACTGGAGATAGGTTTGCCAAGGCTAAGCCAGTCAGTTTGTTCGTCAGAGGCTGATTTTGTTGTTGCCCACCTGAAGATTACAGCCAACCTCAGTTCCTATGGATAAAGCAGGGAAGCACTTAACAGCTGCTCTTTGACTTGTGAAGTCACCATCCTCTTAGAAACCAGGAAGGAGAAAGCCTGTTGCACTCAGATCTCACCAAGTTAGTTGAATTGAAAGGAGACGTGCATGACAGTGGGGGACATTGAAGTCAGTCCCCAGCTTGGTGACACAGCCATAGCCCATGGGTGGGCCTTGGGACCAGGTGTGGAAGTCTTTCTCCTGTTTCTAGCAGAATGAAAGGTGTTAGATGCTTTCACAGATGCTCTGCGCTCCTTGATCACAAACTGCAAACATTGTGCATACATGCTAGCAGGGCAGAAGCAGTCTGGCTGAGCTCCAAAGTCAATGTTAAAAACAGTAATGTATGTTTTATACAGCTGAACAGCTCAGGAACCCAATCTGTTCTCACTGTGTTATCACCCAGTCCAATATATGACACAGAGCATGTGCTTACACTTTTATGAAGTTGTTTGCCAGTAATACAAAATAAGTGTGACACTTGATCAGTTCTAAAATATGTTTGAGAAGGGATGACAGGGGTCAAACTAAAAAGAGGTGAGAAGAAGAGTTGGCAGCAATTATTCACAGTTTTTAACTGTAAGAGAACCACAAGGCATCCTCTGGAATGAACTGACAAGTAGATTTAAAAGTAGAGATAGTGACTCACGCAGCAATTGTGCTATTTTTTACAACAGGATGTTTTGATATCGAGAGATATAAGTGGATTAGTTATGTAAAGGCAGTGTTGGTGTGTATAGACTCTAGCTTGGGAATTCTCTGCCTTCTGAAATGACGGGGATATACACGATCATTGTTCTGCATTTTCATTCTTCTAAACATCAGTTATTGACAGTTTTCAGAGATGATGTACTGGACTGCACAGACTGCTGGTAGAAGCATGACAGCATGCACTAGCACTTCATACTCCCCTTCTGCTGCCTTTGGGAAGATGAAAGTGACTTGGGAAGCAGAAAAGAATCAAGTCAATAACAATATTATCAATCACAAACTGACCAGACCTGTAAATTACTGTAGTTCCCAGAACTTCCATTTACTGCAGTAGAGCAATGACATTTTATATCATCTGCAAGTTTAGCCTCTGGATTGATACAGGTCAAACCACAGGGTGTGGGATCTGTCTTTCTGTCCTGTACCAACATAGGCAATTTGGGAACTGTTAATCCTTCAATTTCTTTGGTTACAGGAATGTTCTTTAGAACAGTAATGCATCAATTACAGATTGATGTGCTTGTACAGATTTGAATATTCAAAACATAGCTCCAATACAAAATTGCAAGAGAACACTTCCATCAAAAGCTTCCTCTCTGTGTTTCTATAGCTTATTTTTCCCCATGGTTCAATGATTTCAGGAACATTGGTTGTGAGATCAGAATTTTTGAATGGAGATACTTTTCTTTTGTGTTTGAATGCTTCTTGTGCAGAACTTACTGGTGGCAAGGGACTGCATGTGAACACAGCTTGTAATACTGTGTGGATCAGTACCTGCAAGTATAATGTGCACAAGTATGTCTTTGTACCACGACTGCATGACAAACCACGCCTGAGGTCTAGCAGCTACTCAGTCTGTAATGTTATCAGTCTACTTTTGGATGTGCACTTTCAGGGGCCAAGTCTCTGATGAGGGCGTGGTGATGCATCTTTTCTGACATGCACAGAGCTTATCTCAGAGTCTGCAATCTGCTGCACAGTGTGCGGTGCTCATCTCAAACACGACCTGACTGCCTTTCAGAACACATTACATATAAAATGGACATAGACTGTTTGCTTTCCTAGTTTTTCTTTTGGTGTGACAGCTTTGAATTTTAGAATGAGGTGTCCAGATGTGCACTAATAAAAAATGCTCCTGTCAGCAGCAAAATGCATAGTAATTTATTAACTTTTCAAGTGTAAATACAAATTGATTTGATGATGCGCCACATAATGAAAAATTATTTGCAGTCACAGCTTGCCTTTTGGTTGGTGCGTTTTGTTTTTTTTTTAATTAAACTTATTACAATGAGTTTAAAACTGGGCAATACTTTTTGATGGCCAAGAGAAAACTGCAGCTCTGTGAAATGTAGGAAGTGCTTCTTCATGTCACTGAAGCACAATCGTGATTCAGAAATTCTGTTCTTTGAAATCATGTTGGCATGTACTGCTTCGCTGGGATATTTATGAGTAAATATTTTTGGGCAAAGAAAAAACAATGTTTTTGCTTAGGGTAATCCATGAGGACAATATCTTTAGTTCCATATTACTAATATTTTAAAATAAGTCAATATATTTTGTGAAACCATTCTAATATCAGTTGCAGTGTATTGAGAGGTCATCGTAAATCTTTTATCTGAGCCTGGTGCACTGCAGAAACAGCTAAAATCTTCAGATGGTATAAGTATTCCAGGTATTTAGAAGGACAAAGTATTTTCAACAGTTGTCAGAGACAGGAGATTGTTAGGAGAGAACCTGAAGCTAATAAATTACATGAGTCTGGAGATGTAAATATTGGTGTGCTTTGTGCCAAATTCACTGGGAATTATTAGCATATCATTGCAGTATTGACTCCTGAGTTCCCTATTTCACTAAGTAAGCAGACTCCACCTCTAGGAGAAAACAGTCGTGCACTGGGGGTTGATGAATATCCGTGTTATCACATTGGTAATGCATGATATGGATGCTTCAGTAGATTATGGCCAATGAATTGATTTTTCCGTGTACCCAGTGATTGCAGCTGCCACACTAAGTCCACTAATATCACCAGGAAAAAAAAATAAATGTCTGCAAAGTGAGATCTGGCCTCTTGAATTCTTAATGAAGGAATTCAAAACTGTATAAAGTTTGTGGTTCCATCCTGAGAGAACGTAACATCAGGTTTATTTTTGTGACATCCATATTTAGAGATGTGTGAAGACATGATCCTCCCATGGTTTCTATCCATCTTGTTAGCTAGTTCCTCCAATTTGCAAAACCATCTTTTATCTGTAGCATGACCTCAGGACTGACTGTGTCAGTGCTAAGTAGCAGTTAGTCAAAATAGCAGCAGTCAGAAATGGAAGTTCAACAGTCTAAAATAGAACTGTTTTCAATTGAGGGAATTCTGACAGTTGTTCTTCCTCACAAAGGCTTTCACCTAACAAACAAACAAAAAAACAAAACCACAAAACAACCCAGAGGTATTTGCGTCCTACCTGAATACCAATGTGCCAACCTTTCCCTGCACCACAGTTTTTGTTGAAGTTCTTACAGTGGAACACATTTTGTCCCCAAGCAGGCTATATTGTGCTTTGGTATGGCTGCTAATGAATGGATTCAACTAAATGATGGATATTGAAGGAACGTGTAATTGATCTGAAGAACAGATTAGGACTCGTGCTATTCCATTAATGCTTATTAGATGTGGCCTAAGCATTTAAAATTTCAGCTGTCCTGTGTCAGATAGATTACACCCCTTGTCACACAGCACTTGAGGTTTTCATCTACTGAAACTGTTTTTATAAAGGAGCAGGCTGATGAAAAGAGATCTGAACAGTTTCCAAAGGACAAGGAGGGCTTGATGTTCAGACACGTCAAGCTCCAAATCATTAAAGTGAGATAGATGGTTCAACACTTTCAGAGTATCCATGAAGAACTGCCTTAGTTTTTGTATTCTGTCTGTGGAACCAGCTTTTAGCTTTTGGGACGCGGGACACTCCTGAAGAGTTCTCATGCCTCATGGAGGAGTACAACATTTATGTAATTCCAGTGCAATCAAATCCTTCAATAACACCTTTAAAAAACTTTCTTCCTTCTCTCAGCTCCTTTCCACTGGAGGTGACCATGCCTCAGGAACCACTAAGCCGATAAAGCTCGTGAACAAGTCTGGCTGAGGAACAAATGGCTTCACTCCAGCCAAGAACAAATTCAGCTTGAAAGACAGGTTGTAGCTCTCAAAGGAGAGAGTTCTGTAAGGTTTTTTTTTTCCATACAGGACTGAAACTCGTTTTAAAAGGATCTTGACATGCTTACAGAAGTAGTATTTGTCATGCTTGCCTAGGATAGGAGCATTCTCAAACTGGTGCTCCTTGCCTTCTATTCCTCTGTCCCAGGAGATAGTGTTTAATTCCAAACTCTCTTAAACAAAAAAGACATTGAAAACTCCATTCTTATCTGAATTTCCTCTACAAGGCATTAAATACTTCTGAGATTATCTGCACTGCAGGAAACATGACTGAACATTTGAAACAACACGAAGCAGGACTTCGGATTATACTACGGGTGAAATACTGACAAGAGACCCATAGACTTTGGTTAAAACAGATAATACTCAAGCCTTTTTTATTATTGTTATTCCTTTTATGAGAGAATATTTAAGACTCTCTCACATGCAGATTTACCATGTTAATACCACAGTCAAAGCAGTGGTTCAGACAGATAAAGACCAAAGTAAAAAGAACACAACAGACGTATTTCTTAAATATAAGAAATTGTTTCATTAAGTCTTAAAAAAAACACCCTGACAATCACAGAGAAAACCAACCTTACCTTTAAGTTATTTGAATTCTTTTATATTATTCATAAATCTCAGAGCCATTTAACTATCACAGAAATCTGCATTCTTTCTCATACTGAAAGTCTGGTTCTTGCAGGCTTCCAGCAATGTGTGACCTCTGCACTCAAAGCCTGCCAGGACTGACCCTTGGTTAGACCACGTGGCCACATTCTAATGCTTTGCACTGAGCATGGAAAAAGTGCAGCCATGTAATTCCCAGGCCAGCCAACTCATGTTCGTTATGGTGGTGTGATAATGAAAGGTAATAATTTTTGCTTAAAATCTTTGAGAGTAAAAGCACATCCATCTGGTCTTCTCAGCTTCAAAGCTTCTAAACAGCAAATGCAACATTATTTTTCAGGGTAGTAGATTTGGTATTTCTCCTTTTTCCTGTGCAAAGGGTTGAAAAGCTTGCTGCCCTATTGCTAACCAAGGACCAAGTCTAGATTGATGATTTGTCAAGAAGAAAACAAAACAACACGTGGCATATTAACTTCTGTTGGGTGCAGTAACTTTATATTCCTACGAGTGAGGTACTGAGAAGTCACGCCATATATACACATAGAACTATTTTCACCTTTGTGCCACCTTCGCAGTTAGCTGTATTTAACTGAGAAGACGACACAAGGTGTGAACAGCTTGCCACTTTGCTCCCCCCAGAACTCACCAGGTAAAAGTAACTCTCCATTCTGTCTTCCTGCCTCCCTCAGCCATGCCATAAAACTCTGTTAGAATAAACAAAAGAAGGAATAAAACTTCCGTACGGTTTCCCCCTTTAAAATTGTATCTGAGAGAAGATCAAAAGTCACTTACAAATAGAAGTTCTATACAAAGAATTCAACACCTGCCTTGTAGATGGTAACTGGTTTTTTAAATTGTCTGGTAGATTAACGGAATGAGGTTAAATGCAGGGCAACTGCTCCCAATCTATATTTAGCCTGAATCTCCCTACCTCTGTTTCAGACCTGCAAGGATTGAGTACTGAGCCCATCCATGATTTTAATGTAATGCTTGATTAATTCAAGATGCTACCTCTCCCTGCACGCTGTTCTAGAGGTCAAGTAACCATAAACACAGAATTTTAACCATTTTTATAATAGAATCTCAGCCATAATTATTCTTTTGTATATATTCATGCATAACCTGGTGCATGTGACATAAATAAAGATCAGCTATTAGCCACCAAAAAATAATAATAAAAAAAATCCACATATTGTACACACAATTGCAAAAATAAAATGGGGCAAAATAGGGCAATGTGCTCTCTGGATGCCAACCAAGAGTTGACAACAACTGATGGAATTTGCATGTTAAAAGTAAATATTTTATTACATACCATGCCCTTGAAAAATTAACTTTGTTTCCAATTTATTTTGTTCAGCATGCCTTGAAATAGGAACGGCAAAAGCTCTTCAAGAAACAGATCACCAAGATTTATGGTACTGCAGTGTCTGCAATTACCTATTTTCCTAGCTCAGTAAAACAAAACAAAACCTTTTTTAAAAGTACTATAAAATATTAAACAACAAAGTTAAGATGCTGTCTCTGTCATTCAGTATGACTGAATTTACTGCAGTGAAAAGCCATCGCCGTGGACCTGCACCCAAAGCCTGCTGACCTTGGCAGTGGTCATCAGCTCTGATCGCCTCTTGGGCAAGGCTCTGCCATTGCTCTGGCTGCCCTTGCACAGACACTGCATGAGCCATTGGATACGTTATTAATGCAGGTTCACAAATATGCTGTCACCAGGTCAACTACAGTAAAATATCTATATTTCAGAGTAACATTTCTTATATAAGCTGCCTAGTTCTCTCCTGCTCGAACTACTTCTCGTAGCATTAGGTTTGTGTTTGTTTTCAAATACTGAAAAGCCTTTGTTGGTTTGTTCAGGAAATTTGTCTAGACAGTGCTCACAAAGCATGTTTGCTCACATTTGACATTTTCACAAGATGGGCAACAAAATGGAAGCCTCAAATTGCTGAATTCCACAGTTGGCAACTAAGTCACCTTACTGACAGAAGTAATGAGCATCCAGTGTTCCCCGCCTCTGGCTTCCAGGCGGTTGCTGGAACAACACCAAGTGTACCTGCAGGCACAGCCCTGCAGGATGGGAGCCTTGAACCTGTACTTGGGGCTTGAAGGCCAGCAAAGGCCTCTCCATATCCACTCGCCTACTAGGACATTTACTGCCTCTGAAGAGTTAAATATGCAAGTGCTATATTGTGACTCTTTTACAGTCAAGAAATGTAAAATGTGGCAATACAATGGAACATGGTTATTTTACCTATTCAACATTTATCTGTGTCTATGGAAGAGGTCTCTAAAATGCTGCCTTTTAGCAGCTTAAAGGTTGAGAACCACCTGTAAACATATGCAGAATAGTCTCTTTCTAGAGATAGAGACTCCTAAACAATCAACCTTGAAATTTATCATATATTGTATTATGTTTTCCAGTGTATTTACAGGTCTTCGTTTTAGTACAATGAGCCAGACATGCTGAAAAGGTAGGATTTTTCCAGTCCTCTTGTATACGAAGTACAATAAAAAAGGCACATGATTATTCACCATAGGATTTGTGCACCAGTCAATAACTTAAAGCTAAAAAGCTACCCATCGGAGAACTCTCTTTATGAGGCAGTATTGGGATCTCTCAACTCATAGAAACATCTGTCTATTAATTCTCCTAGGAGAGCTTAGGAACACACTTTCCTGTGTCTTCTGATCTTTCCAAGACTTCCAAATAAACAGAAAACTCTTCTTAAGCTTCCCAGGTTGTCTACTGTAGCAAGAAATAGTCAAAGAGAGCATGTAAGTATTTGCTTTTTTTTTCTTCCTCTTTTTTTTTCCTCCATTGATTGCTCAACTATGGAGATTAGATCCAAGTCCTGTTCAAACTATTTTGCTTTAGGACAAATGCCTTGCAAGATATGGCACACTGAGCAATGGACAATGGCAGGAGAAGCAGCCTCTCAGCCCCAGCAATCAATGTCGGCCGTGTTTTATCCAGTTTCTAATCATCCATTTTTGACCCGAGCACCTTTGTACAACTAATCTGAGCCCAAAATTTGCATCCTTTGACATTTCCACTTCTAGACAACGGCCAGTGTCTCTGCTGATGATTGGACCATTCTGAAAGAAAGAAAAGAAGTGTTAGAAGAAGGAACAAGAAAATGTCAGAAAGACTTGGGGAAAAAAGTGCTAGATCTGTAAATTTCTAGAAAGCACTCTGAAAAGCCCGGAACTTTCTCTATAGTTCAAGTGATAAAAAGTTTAAAGGGGAGAAATCCTAGAAGGCATCGGGGAGGATTCCTAGAGTAGTCCTCTAAAGACCTTCTTGATCTCCATTAAATATCCTCCCGGTCACTGTTTCTCTCCAGTTCCTCTCTGTGTGGCTCTCTGAGCTTTTCCGCACCTGTGTAAAATCCCAGAACCTCTGTGCTGGTCTCAGGACATCTTCACACTTCTTCAGAGTCGGCGTCCTGCCCTTCCCATCATCAACGAGGCATTTGGAGTCAGGCAGGAAGGCCGTGGAGCCCAGCGGCCCCAGCTGCAGGACACCATCAGAGCTGTAGCGAACGAGCTGGGGAGAAAAGCAAAGGGAACAGTTTCACCATGGCCCTGCAGCCCCAGCCATGGGACACCAGGCCAACTGGCAGCTCCGGACCTTTGTCGTGCTGTGGGCCAGGCCCTTCCCACTTTGGCACATTGTGCTCCAGGGCAGAGCCTGAGAACATTGGTTTAGCAACCCGAGGTCTCTCGTAGGACACAGTATGCTCCCCGCCATTCCCAACCCAATATTTTGTGCAAAAGGGCAATCAAGAAGATGAAGTAATCAATATGTAAATCATACCCACTCAGCAGGAATTGATGGAACAAGGACACGATGTCAATTTGCTGTGCAGTTTGCTCTTAAGAGCTCTGTTAGAGGCTATCGATAGCAACAGCTCTAATTAGTTTTTGTAAATAAATGCTACTGAAAAAATCCAGTTACCAAAAATAAAAGTAAAAAAAAAAAAAATCCTGAGGGAAAGAAATAATTTGCTAACATATTCTTCAGGTCAACATAATAACACACTGAAGAATGACACTGATATTTCAGGTTTTTGTGAGGTTTAACTGATTTGAAATGTGGTGATGTGATAAACGCTGCAGGCAGTAAATATGCTTCAGGTGACGGCCAGTTATTACTTTGGAGTATTTTTTGTTTTTTAATCAGGATAAAAGTCTTAGCGGGTACCAGCAGTTTAACATTTACAACACAATCAGACATGAATTTTTACAAAGCAAGAGTCCTTTTTACCTTTATTCCATTTTAAGTGATGATTTCACCTGTCTCACATCAGTGGCCCTCAAGAAAAGAAAATCTGTATGTTGGAGAGGTGAAAAATCAGCTTCTTGGAATCTCAGAGCGCCAGAATGTATCTTAGTGCAATCATATTGCAATCATAAAGGAAAAATATTGAAGGACAAAGGAAGTATCTGTAGGTGGCTCCCGTCAAGCAGGGCTAATTGTCACAATGCAAATTTGTGATGGAAGAGAGCTGTTCTCTGTGCCCACAGCAGGCTCCAGGTGTAAGGAGTGGATGGCTGCCCATTCACCTTCCTTGATGAAGGATGCTGATTCCAAACCCTCTGTGCCGGATTCTCAAGATGTGATTCCCCTCTCCTACAGAGTGGGGTGAATTTAGGATGTTCATTTAGTGGGCTGTACCAACTGCCTAGCACATAATACTGAGATAACTATGATGGAGTCCTCATTTATACATTGCAAACATCAAAACCTTCGTTACTGCTTCTCTCCAAACAGTTGAGGGAGAGTCTTCTGAGGGTGATTCAAGACAGAGAATGCATGATGTTAATTTGGCAGCAGACTGAAGGCTCAATGGCATTCCTTCCTGTGCTCTCCATTCTCTAGCTCATGCAGCCAGAAATGTAGCTGGAAATACAATATTTCTCTTTTCTTTCTCTAACTTACAGATACCTCTTCCCTCCAATAAATGTCCAGCATGGCTCTGTTCTGTGCAGGTTTGTTACAGCATGATTATGCTCTAATGAGTCTGAAGCATCCCCTTCTCACTTCTGCATTTCAATCCAGAGGCGTTCCACCAGCACAATATTTTGCCCTATAAGTACTCAAGTGCAGCACACAGTGGCCAAAAGGCTGCGCAATGGAGTCAGCTTTATGGCCAGGGTGCTGCTGGAGCCACTGGAGTGGCACAATTATCACCTGGGAAATTCATTGCCTGCCTCACCTCACTGCTGTTATGTGGCAGGAGTTGCTTAACAGGAAAGGGAAGGCAGGTCAGAAATACCCGGCACTTATTGGATGCTACTGGCCAGTGCATGAGACATCATTAAGAGTCAATCAAAAAAACCTGAATTAGAGTCTAGCTTTCTACACCCATCCTTATTAACCTCAGAAGAACCACGCTGTGAATAATCATATCTTTCTGCTGGTAAAAAAGCCCCATCTGTTCGCTCCCAAACCAAATGCCCTCTGACAGAGTATGTGCTCATTTTCTCCTCCTGCCACTTCTGTTCAGAGCATCCGTGTGAAGCACATGGTTAGGGCATAGCCCACATCAGAGGGAGCAGAGGGGTAACCACAGGAGGATTCTCCTTGGCATGAACAGTGGCATCAGGTTGAGGCACTGTTTCTGCACACTGAATCAAGACTTTTTTTTGGGGGGGATACTCAGGACATATGGAAAAGAAGCTCAAGCAAGCAAAGTGATTCAAAATTCAAATGGACTGCTGACTCTGACACGTGAACTTGTTTTTTTTTTCCCATATAAAGGAAAAAAAAAATCTCACATTCCTGTTTTTAAGTAAAACATGTCTACTTCACACTTGTAATAACCAGTGAGTGCTCAGCAGAGTTCAAATGAACTGCAGGCATTGCAGAAAACTACACTCGGTAGGAAATGTGTTCATCTTGCCGTCTTCATTATACATCTGTGGGTCTAAAAATACCACCCACCAGCCTGCGTGGCTTTGCCTTATCAAGATAATCAGGGCTGCCTTTTATACTGGGCTATCTGCTCTGTCAGATTGATTTCCCTTGTGGTTCAGAAGGAGCAGTGTTTTCTATACAGATATTAAAATGGTCTAAAATATTCTTTGTCTTTGGAATCTCTATAGCCAGAGTTGCATTCCTCAGCATCACAGCAGCCAGGTACCTCAGAAAGGCAATGTTGTAAAGAAGCTGTCAATGCAGAAACTAATGCTGCTGCTTCAGCCCTGGAAGTGGAAGACACAGTAACTCTGCTCAACTGTCTCCAATATTAAAAGTGGCAGTTGTGTGACAGCTCAACAGAATAAAAGATGGCTTGGCACAGGAAATTGATATCTATACAATGATGACACAAATGGAACAGCATCAGCATAATGTTCCTGAATCTGTACTTTCTGCTGAGAGTTCCAAAAGTTATAAAAACTTAGGCACATCTGAAATAAAATAAAGCAAAATTCTGAAAGCACATAAAAACCATCATGTCAATTCAAACCACGTTATGTAGGAACGTTTTAGTGCCTGCTTCTGCAAAATCAGATCTGAAATTAAGGTTCATCAAAGTTCAAATTAAGATTCATTATATGATTAATAATGTCTCCCTCCAAAGATTTGATATCATCACTTCACAGAGACAATATAAACTGCACAAATACAGTAAGTATTAAAATAAGCTGCTTAGTACTGCAGACTAGAAAACAGGAACTGGAATACAGAATCAATGAAATAATGAAAATTACACTCACTGTGTTCAAATTCAGTCTCAAGTGTCACTTCCATACTGAAAACGAAATGACAACCTCTGCATTTGGATTAGAACTGTGGGTGTGATGCATCATGCCAAATCTATTCCCTGTCAGACAAAATCAAACGGCTGCTCCCCTTTATCGAGGCATATTCAAATCCAGTGAAAACAAACAAACAAAACCCTTCTACACAAGTCCGGATGGGCTGTGAGCCTTACATACCCACACATTCCCAAGCTGCAGAACAGAAATGTTGTTTTAATGCCCCATGTAATGATGAAGGACCTCACATGCTGAAGCCTAGAGCTGTGTTCACTACTCCAGGATCTAATCCTGATGCTATCTGCTGTGCCTACGATAACACAGGACACTTCTTTCAATTTTCAGAAATCTGAGCAGAATGGAAGAGACATCAAAGGTTGTTTACCAAAGTCACAACAACTGATTAAAAAAATAGTAGGCAGCGATGCTTATGGAAGGTGGTCCTCAGGAGCATAATCTGGTAGGTAAATGTCAGCTCTTAATTGAAGGTTTGACTTCAGAGAACCCATCCCTGCTGATTTCCAGTCAAGTGAGGAAAGCACAGATCAGCAGGTAACTTTGGAGGACACGCACAGATGAGTCCAGTCAGGTTCTATGGGAAATGTAACCCCTCACTCTAATTTCCCCAGGAAAACAAAATATTTAACAACATCTCAGCAATGCGGGTTAAGGTGAGCTGTAAGCTAACATTAATGAAACAGAGCCTGAAATATCTTAAATATCCAGAATACTTGTTGTAACAAAGAGCTACCAAACACACAGGTTGCCACCCACTGCTTCTGTTGAGCCATTTCCTTTCCATCCATTGCCCTGCTCTGAGCGATGGGATATGCTATCCAGTGTGCTATGGAAAAACATAGCTCTGCCTGGAAAAATGTTAAATATCTGCCCTGAAGCAGCAGTTAAAGCGAGGCCTTTCATCTGCTTTTATTCCATCTGTTTGTATAGCCGCGAGCTCCAGGAATCTGAGCACAGAGATCTCTCTCCCTTCCACTTGATCTCAGCACGAGGAGTTCTCAGCACCACGGCTGCTGTGTGGTGTGAAAGGAGAGCAGTGTGGGAGGGAGGGAGCCAGGCCCTGCATCCAGGATGCTGTTTGGTTCAGTTCTCCTCTTTCACACGCTGTGTGATCAGCTCCACATCGCAGCACTCAAGATAAACTCTGAGACAATGAATACTTCCACTGAGGCCGTTGAATTGCTCTTAGATGGTTCAACACCTGTGTGCCATTTCTGGGGTTGGTCTTTTTTCCCTTTTTTTTTTTTAAGCTGTTTTTTAAAACAAAAGGGTATTGTCCAGTGTGTAGACCCAGTGGGCATTACAGGTGATTGCATATGACAAGCCACTTGAGTTCCCCAGGTATGCTCCTTTCTTTTCCTGACAATTTCTCTAGCTACGGATGGTGTCTCCCATTGCTCTTTCAAGAACATTTGCAAATCTTTTTTTCTGAAAGGGATTAGACTCCAACTTCAGACCCCACGAACACATATCAAAATGACAATACTCCTCTGTAAAGTGAGTTCTGAAATCAATTTAGGCCAATGCAAAACCTTGTTTAGATATTCCTAACTGCTGGCTTACACTGATTTAACTTGAGTCAAATTCATGATGTTAAATTGATGTGAATGCAAGCTAAATTCATTCAAGGACATGCACAAAAGACATAATCCCAGTCTGAATAAAGTAATTTAGAAGCTGATTTAAGTTGAAAATATGTGAATTATGGTGGTAGAACCTGATCTTGAGAATACACAGAGGGAAAGGCATTTTGTCCAGAGAGCAGTAACTGGGCTATAGCTTTCTTTTTCACTTGTATGGCAGGACACATCATTCAAAGGTGTGCAATATACATGGAAAATGGGAAGTTAAGAAGTAGAAGCAAAGAACAACATATCACAGAATAAACAGTAACCTTATGCCCATCTCAGCTTTCTGTAAACACTTGACTGACTTCTATTGGTTTCAGAGGAACAATGTATGTACTCAAATCAGTGCTTATTTGCTTGTCAGAATTGAAGAGGATCAAAAAAGAAACCAGATTGTATCTGAATACTGAGAAGTTTTCAAACCAGTAGGATACATCAGGCACCAGTGGTAACCTAACCTGGTGAGAATGAGTGCCATGTTGATATTCATTAATATTCAGTAGGCATGTACAACTAACCCAAATCTCAGCTCAGCAGGGGTATTATATGCCCTGTGCTTGCAAGGAAAAATGTCAGAAACTGAAAGCTAAACATAACAGATAACTATGCTCGCCCAGGATGATTATAAGAGGGGCTTTAAAAATGTTTATTTAATATATTAAAAAGCTTGCTGTCAACACCTTTTATGCTATGTGCTTGAATATCCTTGATTAGGGTTTGTGCAGCTGTAGTTCTCATACTGAATTAATTTTGTAAATTGTGATGAGATGATAGAACTTTTCCAGCTGTGTAATCATTAATTAACTTGGCTGCATTTGAGTGGCTCCAACCCATACTTGTCTGTGAAATACTAAACTTAGATAAAACATCACCTTTGCCTTTTGCCTGGCGTTTCTTACTGAGTGAAATGGAAACTGCTGCAGGATGACTTGGTAGATTAACTTCTTGCCTTACTCATACTTTAATAATTCTCTCATGCAGAGATTACTTTGGATTTTAAGGGCTTGAGAAGAGTAGCTTTCTCTTTCTATGCTTTTATAAAATGCTAATACAAGAGTGCTCTATTTTGTGGCTGTAATTTAAAGGCTTTTTTGGGAATTTCAAACAGATGAGATATTGGAGACAAGTAGTGGAACTGAGCCAGAAGAGACTGAATTGGTCACCACCCGTCTTCAATATTTTATGCAGTGTGTAACTTATGGATTGTTATTTGCACCTGAGAAGAGCTGCCCAGTTTATTTGGCAATTACTTACAGGCAATGACTTGTTCCTTAAGTTTTCCTCCAAAGTAAACAGAAAGCTTGGTTGAAATGGATGAAAGAAACTGGTCAGAGCTAGATGCTATCTCAGAGCTGCTTTAGGCCCCAAAATTTTAAGAATCACTTTTAGGTTGCAAAATATCTATTTCATTTTTCCTTTCAGTGCTAGCATGATTGTATTTTGGAAAGAGACTTTTGAGAAACACTTAAATTTGCAGCCTTCTGGTCAAAATTGGAATGGAGCAAGATACTCACTCCCTGAGTGTCTCGATGTCTCCAGCTACTCTTCTTGGAAAACTCATTTACATCTAATTAAACAACACTATTTTGTTACCTTACTCTGTCCCTTCTGCCTTTACTGTGAAAGTGTCAGTCAGGAGTCCTGTAATGATTCCGCCAACGCTGGACATTTTGTCAGTAAGAATTACAGTCTGTCCTCTTTGCTCTAATGAGGTTTGACTCTTAACCAGCTTCCAATTAACCACAGTAGGCAATATTTATATTTCACAACTCCTGTCATGCTTCCATGGCAATGTATGAGCCAGGACTCCAAATCAATGTACATATGGGTGAACTCCCATAAGTCCGTGATAAGGTCAGAGTTTATTTACGCATGAGAACACTCATTAATGTAGTTTTGATTTGGACAGTACTTTAAATGAAACTAGAATTAGATTTTAGAAGTAGCTCAAGTCCTAGATCTAAATAATGACCAGCTTGTATCTACAAAACAGTAATATTGTTAAGCAAGGAAAGAAGAAATGTCATTTCAAATTCACCAGACATCTGTAAGAAAATAACATTCACAGAGACCTAAAAAGCCCCAAATGTTCAATTTTAGAGAAGTATTAATTTTAAAGATATTCTTATTTGCATTCATATGCAAACATGTGCTTAACTTTTTGCCCATTCAGGGAATCACATCAGCATCGTGCTAAAACATTTCTGCATAGGAACTATTGGACCAATCAACACTGAAGGTAAAGAGGTATGATTCCTAAAATATGCCAAGTCACAATGGGAAGAGCTGCTCACGGAAACAAACAGTCTAAATTTGATAATCATCGGTGGATCTCTCCATTATTAAAACAAATTATCATGATTTTTCTGTTTTCCTTATTAGCATCTTCAGAGTATAGATTTGCATGTTGTAAGATCTGGGAAAGGGCACTCAAAAAAAACTCGAGGGAAGTCAACGATTTTCTTTTGCAACGTGAAGAGATACTGCCATACTCAATTTAAACACAATAAATTACTTCTTGTTTCTTCTGAAAATTTCTTAAAGTTGCAGATTTCTCAATAATTATGGGATTTAAATTATTTACCTGAGAGGACATTCCATGGCATGGATAAAGGATTGCTTTGTCATCCTCTTCAGCTCCCTGATCTAAGCAGTAGCCACTGGCTTTGCTGTTACGCACCTGTAGCCCAATCAGAAGGAAAATAATTGTATTAGAAATTGTTCTGGAAGATGCAAGTCCAATCCAGATAAAACTTAGTTGTACTACAACTACTGACACAAATACTGGATAAAATTATTCTCCTCTTCTCTGAGGAACATTCTCCATACACAACAGGGCTTCAACACTGGAGTTGCTCCAGGAAAAGACAGATCATTTGGACAACCTCCTGTCTTTACAAAATTATTAACTCGAGTCAGAGTTTTATTTTCATCAATTACTCAAGGATCAAAACCCCATAAAATGAACTCTATAAACTCAGGTCAAATTTTGCTCCAAATTGCCCTCGTGTAGAAAAAGAGGTAGACCCTACATGCTGAAAATGTGACTTTACCCAGCAGCAAAGGAACTGCCCAGGATGGTGTTGGCTGTGGTTCACTTTTATTTGCTCCTATTGTGTATATAAGAACAAAAAAAGCATATTAAACAATTTTATTTCAATTAAGAATATAATGCAATTTACATCATTTGAAAGGATACTGCAATGATAAGCAGCACAGAAGGGGTTCATATATTTGAAGACGGGGTTCAGAGAAACAACCAAGTCAAAAATTTAGGCATCTCCTCAGATGAGAAGAGTTTACAAGTCCATAAAACTGTGCTGGAGCTCTTGTGAAATTACAGGCCTTTCTTTCTCTTCAGGCTACAGGTACTAATGCACATTTTGGACACAGAAAATTTTCACAGATCTCTTAAATGAGAAGTTGTTTAGATGGGTGATTTGAATCAGTCAACAAGTTGCTCTGAGTTTTGACTGAACAACTTGTCTGGCCACCCCTACAATACAGGAATAGCTGCAGCCTGATTTGTTGGAAAATCAGTAAATAATCCTTTACATTATGGTGCATGAACATAACAGGCAATCTGATGGGATAAGGGGGTTCCCTAGCAATTAAATTTCAGCAGGTTTATTTTATGACTCGCACTATAAAGGCTAAAGAACATGAAGACAGCTTTATGACAGAGCTTTAAAAATGTGAATTGAGTCACTAGGAAATATATTTTTACTACTGTTTCAATATGTTTCACGTCTGCTCAATACATTTATTTTCCTTAAAGTCTTGAAAACTCAAACACCTTTTCCTCCAGAAAAATAGCCGTAAGAGAAAATACTAATAACAAGCTTGATATCATTTAGGATGAAGCCTGCAGTTTTTTTATTATGGGCATGTAAGAAAGAGGACGATTCCAGTTTGTGCTAGCTAGATAGCTTGCGTGGCTCCAATTTATCATAAATTTTAATGAATTGGATACTTGCATCGCTGAACTTCCTGTGTGACTTGAGAACTTTGAATGCGACCACTGAACAGAAACAAACTTATTTTTAGAGGCCAGCTTCCTACCCGTCTGGTGTAATTGACACAGCATTGGCAGTGCTGCCAATATTCTTCTCAGCAGCATTTTCAGAGCTGACAGTAACTAATAGCTCCTGTTGAACTTACTAAATGTCTTTCCTTGGTTACTGCCAGAGATAGTTATATTAGGATACAGAGTGGTGTTATGCAATAAAACTTGCACTTTGTATCAATATCTGAAGGGCCTGACTTATTTTTATATGAAGTCATTTAAATGGGACAGCAGGAAAGAATGTCCATGTAGTTGACTGGTGTGAAAATTTATTGCCTAATTCAAGTAGGCAATTAACACAGAATCTTAAAAACACTGTCCTGGAACGTCGTCCCAGTTCACAGACACACAGCAGTCCTTACCTTACAGGCACTTGATGAACTCTTAAAAAACCACAGAAGGCATGTTTGACCTAAAAGATCAGGTTAGAGCATATACAGTGGTTTTGACTATTTAACAGGTGGAAAAGAAATGATCCAGAAAGCTGACCTGAACCACATCATCTACACATCTCCAGTGCATTTGGATTCAACATTTTATCAGTGTTAGCTGTCCATTCAGCTATCTCAGAGTAGCTGTTCCTTACTTATTACTGTGCACAGGCAGAAATTAAAATATACAGATTCTGAGCACAAAACAGCAGAATTATTTTTCTCTAATGGCTTTTTCTGAAGAGATAAAAGCTTGCCAAACTGTAGCCTCAACTGCATCTGTACAAGGACATGTATGTGGCTTTTTATCCCCAACCAGGAGGATTTGCAAAAATGAATTAATGAAGCAAATATAGGCACCGACCACTAAGATGAAAAGAATTCTGTAATGCAGCCATCATGGTTTCAAAGACATACAGTACCTCTCCATAAGTGACTGTGTTATTATAGACTCTCATTTCAGGATAGACATTCTCCAAGTACCACTTAAAACTCCGGCACTGCAGTCTCTGCCGTAGAGCTATTCTTTCAGAAACATCTCCAAAATCAACTCCAGGGTTCTACAAAATAGAAAAAGAATAGAGAAATTTCATCACATTGACTTTACAGTTGTTGTTGTTTTTTTTTAACTGAAACCAAATTGGAATTCATTTTGTGCACCAACTTGTATTTCCCTCTCTACTTTCTCTTTTGTGAGTAGCAGCTCATCAAACAGCTGCTGCGGAGAGCAGACAATAAATACTAATGCAAGTCAGTAGAAAAATAAGGATAACAAACAAGCAAAAAAACCCCAAACATAAATCAAAATATAAAAAAACAATGTGAATGCTGTTAACATACAGCAATTCTAAAAGTTTGCAATCAAACCTGAACTCCTTTGCCTTCAGATTCATAAGGAATTTAGCTGTAGTTCTGATGTAAGATCTAGCAGCTTGATCATGGTTTAGACTATTAAGAGCCTTGGGTATTCACGAATGTAAATGAGAACAGACCTGTTACAACTTCAAAGCAGAGCAGCTCAAAAAGCAATTAAGCCCCATTAAACATTTGCATAGACCAGCATTCAGTTTTTACTGGAACTGGAGCTCATTCACAGACTTAAGCTATAAAACACATTTAAACTCAATACCTTCTTTGTAATTCGATTTCAGAATTTAAATCACATTTGACTAAAAAATTCCATAAAAGCATATAAAAAATAAATCGATATGATCGAACTCAAACATTTCAGAAAGACCAGGTCAGTTATTGCCTGTAGATATAAACCAGTATAAATCATCATAGCTCAACATCAAGACACTGAGTTACCTAATTTTTAAATCTTTTCTGATGCTGAAAGAATTAAATGGACTGAAACTGGTGGCTTTTGCATGGATCTACCTTAAGTGCCCTGTACAGAAATCTTTCTGGAGGAAATATTTGTTTTCCAAATGGTGTCTGATGCAGGGTTACAAGACAGCAGCAAGTCTTAGCTCGGGGTTTATTAGAATCCCCAACAGATGCCTTGTTTTCAGGAGAGAATACAAGTGTAATACTGAACAGGTTTTTCCATTTGCCACATAAAGAGTTTGCTGTGCTCACTGCTGCTTGCTGATGCATACTTTGTCATGAGCTCTCTATGCAGCATCCATTCAAATGAATGTTAATTTATGTTCTACTTCAGGCTAAATGGAAGGAGAGCAATTCTCGGAGGCACTCAGTACAATAAATCATTCAGTATAAGTTTTATTTATCATAAAAATTGTCGAGGAATAGATCATAAACAGGGCATACCAAATATTTGGCAAAGTGCAGTAGTGCTACGCCGACCTGCTGGTGAAAGTTATAGGGAGCTGTGGGGATAAGACTGCAGGTGTGTCCAGCCACCAATCAGGTACACACTGTGAACAGACCCTCAGTAACTTAGAAGGGAAAAGATGGTGTGTGTTATGAAAGGGTTAATTTGGATGGGTTTTAAAGTACAGAACACATGTATTTTACTTGTCTCTCTTCTATTCTATAATGAAGAAATATAACACCTTGCTTGCTAGGCTATTTCTACAGATCACAAGAGCAGCAAATTGAGCAGCTATGAAAATGCTGTGCCTTGTTCCATACTAGCTACAGTCATTAAGTCGGGGTTACTGCATGATGGTACAGGAATGAGGTGCCCATATGATGTACTATGCAGACACATCCTTTTTAACCCAGCAGTAGGGTTTCTAGTTCTCTCACAGAAAGTTTTTTCTTATGGCTTTGACCAGTAAACTACTTAGGTCAACTAGACTGACTACTACAGCAGAACGACTCTGTGGGCACTAACATGCTAGCTTCCTTTTCCTGAAAGCTAATGGGGTTATTTTTATGATGTACGTTTTATCAATCAATTTATTTTATGGAAAGTATATTTTAATGTTCAATACTTCTGCTGATTTTATGCCTTTGTATATAGATGTGCCTATTTTTTTTAAAACACAGTTATATGGCTCAGTGCAGAAAACTACATCAATAAGTAATCTCAAAGAAATTAAGGAAATCATGTTTTGGTGTAAATGCTTATTTAAATGTCTTTTATATTCTCAGAATTTGTTTGCAGAAAGCATCAAGTAAACAAATTTTCGAGGATTATTTCTCCTTCACCTTCCTGCTAGAAACTTACTATGTTTCTATGTATCTGTTTGTTCAGATGGATGCAGACAGGGCCAAAATGCCCCTAAAAGCTTAGGTGAGCCCTGCTTTGTCTTCCTCCTGCTATCACAGAAATGCATTAGGCAGTACTGCCTTGCTAAGGCAAGATAATTCTCTGCAATTAGTTCTCATGCCAAAAGTAGCAACCAAAACGCACCTTCATACAGACCTAACTTTCAACACAATACTGTGAGTATTATGAGTATTATGAGTATTATGAGAATGCCCAATACTAAAAAGCAGTAATTAAAATTCTGATGGGTGTGAACATCTAACATACTCAGACATCACAGAGGAAAATGAAACATTACTCCTTTAGGTATATGTATTTTCAAAAACATGACAGGAATTAATTAATATGACTTTTGATATATCATCTAGTTATCAAAGCACAAGTAGGTATTCAGGACAAAACTAAATCTAGTGAAATCTATGCCAGGACTCCCATGACTCTGATGGACTCTAGGTCATAATTGTGAATATTCACAGTGATACAGCTGGACTGGCATATTTTTTGGCTCAGACAGAAGCATTTTCTGTTTCCATTTACTTCAACCCAATCATCTTTGGCCAAAGCCTTCATGTAAGGGTTAACAAAACTATCCTTAGTTACAGAAATGTGTGTGCTTCCCCTCAGCTGCTCTCCCTGTGCCCCTTCACATGAATAATTTGGATGCAAATATCACTAAAAGATACAACAGCAGTCAGCTTCCACCTGACTGTGCTATAACACATATCTCTTCTCTTGAAGAATTATGCTCTGTGGAGATGTAGCATGAGATAGACTTCCAGAATCAAGTAATAAATTGAACCTGCAGTTTATCTAATATTTATATTATGTGGATTCCTGGGGGCCCCCACATGCCATTAACAATTCACGTGCACAGTAAGAAGCAGAACGTGTCCACATTGCAACTCTCACCCTGTAGAAAATAAAACTAGTTAATGTGGGATTCTTTTATTGCACACATTGTTTTTTATCCTGGTGAGGTCCATGGAGTCTCATGATGAATCATGATATTTATTTATGGACATTTCTCTAGTTCTCACTAGTGTAGCATATGAACAACTCAAAGTTTAACGGCATCCTAAATTAAGGACTTTCTCTGAGGAAGCGCATAAACCTGAAACATCATGCTCCAGTTAAATTGTAAGTCTGTGTCACCACTCCAGAGCCTGCAACAAAACTTACGCACCAAGGAAGCAATATAGGAAGCAAGTTTATGACAGAAGTCTCTGCTCTGAGCATTCACCAGCACAGAAGAAGTCTTCCTCCAACTCTTTGCCCACTGCATACAGTTGTAGTAACGTCTTCACCTCAAATTGCTAAGTAGGAAAAACTATTCAGACTTCTGCCTCTGTTCAGGACTAGTGTGGCCCATACTTACTGCCATGGGGATGTTCCATGCCATGTAAACATGGGACTTGAAGTCATCCATCCAGACCTCTGCAGCCCGTAGGGCGTTGCGCTTTGCATAGTAATCGATGTCATTGTTGTAGGGTTTCTTTGTGCGTTCGATGTGTGCCACACGAGAGCAGGGTAGCACCTCCATACTTCCTCCACATTGCCAGACCTGGGAGAGTTAGAGGAAAAACAAACAATTTTTTTTTTTTCTTTTTTCTTTTTAAGTGGGTATAATGGCTCCAATTAAGAACACATACAGTGTTCCATCATTTGAGATGGGTACTGTGTACTACTGAGTTATTCAGAGTGATTGCTCGGAGGGTGAAACCCCTCTTACCCTCATTGACTAAAGATGAATGGTGCTGTCCGTGTTGGATACACAGGTTTAGGTGCCATAAATATCCAAGTTCTCCATAATGTCACTGTTCTTGGAACTGTTAGGAAGATGACAAATTACAAGGTGGTAACCTGTGTCATGTAGACGAATTTAACCTAGTCCTTGTTAGTGAAAATACCTCGGAGCTGAAGAAGATGGATAAAAGGGGCTAAGTGTGGACTATACCAACCCTTCTGAGCACCACCGTCGTCATACAGTGCCATTTTTCCCTGTTGATTATTTACAGCCTGAACTCCATGCTGGGAAACAAAGAGGAGCTGCCTCTCAATCAGTGAGGCTAGACTCATGCAATGAAAACCCTCAGGTTTCAATGCTGTCAGGTCTGCACCTGGTACTGCAGTCTAACTGAAATAAATAAAATATATTAAAACTTTAAAAATAATCTATTGCTTTCCAAAGCTTCCCTTTACTGCACGTAAAAACTCATTTCCAGACCAGATGCACTCCAGAACAATTCCAGGACTATTCTCCCCGCAACCTGCCTTCTCATGGACAGAGATAAATTGCTTGGGAAGCAGAGATAAAATTGTCTCTTCCAGTTTGTATTTTTTTAATACATTGTTAGATAATACTTATTTGCTGCTTTCTGAGCAGTCCTACAGTAAATCACTGGCCACAGGAGCTTGCACTTGATAAATGAAAAATGCCAGAAAACACACTGCTCATAAATTTGGACTGGCATATGCTGAGGTTTCTCAGTGCAAAGGGGAAGTGCTATGAAAAAGAAAGGAATTAATTGATTCTCATGATGAGAAGGGCAGATGAGCAGTACACTTCAGTATACCGCTGTTGGCCCACCCCACCCCGGCACACAGCTTTTTAATACACAGCTCGTTTTCCTTTCTCTTCATATGGTTAATGACCTTGTAATTTTTATTGTATATTTTGGTACCAAGGGCAAATACATTATCTGAACGACAGATTTATTGCCTTCAGATGCCTGTGCTCATGCAAACTTGAAAAGGAAAGCGTACTAAACTGCAACATTAAAGAAAATACTTCAGTTTATCTGCAAATTCAACACAAATAGTTATTTACCAGTGATAAATTCTCCCCAGAAGAAATCCACAGGGAACTGAGACACCTAGCTTTGAAGAAAGCAGGGCAGAAAATAAAAGAAAAAGAAATAGAGAAAGAAGAGAAGCCAGCAGCCGCCTCAGGCCAGCTAACGCTCCTGCTGTCAGCCCAGTGCTCAGCAGTCAGCACAGATCTGCGCCGTGCTGCGACCGCCCCATCTGCGGTCGTCTAAATTGCTTTACATTTACATTCCGTCAGCTCTTTCCCTCCCCTCTCAGCCCCATTTTGCTCTTTAAGGTGACAGAATGTGTTACAGAGAGAAAAGGAATGAAACAGCCTCTGACAAAGGAGACAGCTAGGAAATATCCAAGGAAATTTTGCTTCCTATGAAGATGCCAATTCACCTCGGATGACTTGTTTGTTCTGGGAATGTGCAACTTCTAACACAAGTGGGAGATGTTTTCCTGGATAGGATGACATTCCTAATCCCTGCACAGCATAGGGGATGGGGAAGCGCGTAGATCCCTGGGCAGCAGCAGGCCACACAGCACCAGGCCACCATCTACCCGTGTGCTGGGCAAGGTGGATACAGGCGGCAAAGTTGCCGTGCTGCAGCTGATAAGCAGTAAGAACAGAGAAGCAAACAGTGCAGCTGGCACAGCCCAGGGACTTGGCTTTGCCTCCGTGAGCATCACACTGTGCAGCGTTTTAAGACATGATCAAGTAATTCCAAGAGACACTCAATTTATTTGCTAATTGTAGTTAATTTCTAATTTCGGCATTGGTCTTTAGGCTGCTATAAACAAAATTGATAGCAGTATAAATGTTACCATAGCTGTGTTACCTTAGCATTTTTACTGCTAATTATCTCAATCAACTTTTCTATAAACAGACATATTAAGTATTAAGAAGAACAAGTACTCACATCAGGGATAAATTACATGTGGAATGATAATGTTTGTGGTTTGTGCTACAATGATTTACTCGTGCTAATTATTAGCTGTTCCTATACACCTGAGAGATGGCTGCCCTACAATGTAACTATTATATTATACTGATATAGAATATTTTTATCGCACGTAATATATTTATATTGTATAATATAAAGCAGTCAGCTAGACACTGTATCCTATTTGTCATAGAAAAACCAAGATGAGACATAGAGTGCCTTGTTTACCATGGCCTAAAGCTGTGCATTACCAAAGTTCTCTGAAGGCAGCTAAGCTACATGACTTTAAGAGGTTGTAAATCCCCGTGCTCCCATTGCTGAATTGCTGCCAGACAAGAAGAAACTTGGTTGTACAGACTGTTACCATGCAACTCACGGTTGTGTTGTAGCAGCCATGTGTTTTATCCTTTTCCAAGAGCCAGTGGCAGCTTCAGCAGTCCTTTGCTGAAAGGAAAAAATTACTTGTAGGCAGCTTTAAGAAAGCAGTGAGAATCAGCTTTGCAACCTGCACGTGGTAGCAAGGTCCCCTCGGTTCTGCTGTACCCAGCAGAGCATGTCACTTGGCCTTTCTACAGTGGTTTCTGCCAGAGGCAGTGCTTCAGAGGTGGATGTTCAGCACATCCTTCAGCTAGAAGTGGACTCTGATGTTTTATAGAAAAAGTGCTGAACTCCACCTGAGCAGCACTCCATAGGAATAACCTCTCAGATTTCAGACTTTCTTTTCCGCATGAAGCCAAAAGATGAGATGGAAAAAGATTTTAAAGCAGCTTAGATATCCATATCCATGTTTTATAATAGCCCAGTGTGGGAATTCTTACAAGACAGGAATCTCAGGTTTTCTTCCATTTTCAATGTGAAGCCTGTCAAAGATGGATGTCCTCCAGACCTCACACCCACCCCACAACTGGACTGGAAAAGATTTTCCTATCATGAAAGAATTTTCAAAGCTTTCAGAAATCTTGCTGACCTAAATTGTCAAGAATTACGTAAATGTTTTTCACTGGTAGGAATGCAGGCACTTCGTCATCCCTAAACCTCCTCTGCTCCCCCCCAAATCCCAAAATATTCTGCTAAATGGAACTAGTGATGATTTTGAGATGTTCTGTTCTGTGTTAAAGGCTTGTTTAGTATAAGCATATTTCAAACTGAAAGGTCAGTCTAAACCAACCCCCCACATTTTCATTGCAAAAATAGCAAAACCCAACATTTGGACATTAAGAGATGTACTTGCTCTGAATTAGAAATTTCGTCAAACTGCAGCCTTCTCCTGCTGTTTTAATTTATCAGCAGGAAATGCCCTGAAAATCTGTCCATTACATTTGAAGGAAGCCAGCAGGCTCTCAGCCCTTCTCAGCACACAAATGGCCTGGAGATAAAGATGCCTTAAACCATTGCTATAGATAAGGAGATCTGACAGTGTTTACACTGCAGTTCCTCAAGGTGAAAGAAGTCTGAGCACTTTCTGGTAACAGCTGTGGTACCTGAAGTGCAGAGGATGCACAGTGTGGGCAGTACAGTCCAAACAGGTACAGCTTCTTAAACACCACTGTGTAACATAAAATCCATCTGTATGCAAAGGTATGGGAAAATGTCTGGCTTGATGAAGTCAAAGAAGCCTTTTAACATTAAAAACATGCATAGGAAGATGATGTTGTTTTGTTGGCATCTCTGGTCAGCCATGCACCAACGAGGTCTAAATCAGAAAGCATCCTTCAAATTAAATGTGAGCAGTGCCAATAAGGTCTTTGTTCACCCAACGTGCAGGAGCCCTCCAGTTATCCTCCAGTCCTTAATGGATGTGTCAACTCTTCTAATGCACACTCTAGTAACAAAAAATTAGCATGAATATAGCACACTTATGGTTCTTGCATCCCTGTTATTGACAATTTACATAGCTTGCTGAAAATTGATATTTCAGAGTAATTTATAGCCTGACATTTTCTTTTTTTCTAATGGGGTTTTATGGCTTTTCTTTCCTCTACGTATTCTCAGTGCTGACTGGAGTGTCACATTTAATCAGAAGTGCTAGATAAAGTGCTCTTTGTCTGCTTTTCAGTCCACATTGGAAGCTATCTGAAACTAGGAAGCTGTCATAATCAAACAGCTCATATGGAAAAATTAATCACATGGTCTCATGTTGTTCACTGACAGCATTTTTGTGATCAGCTTTAAAAACATCCATAATTATGGTTTAAAAAAGTCTCAACTCTTAGATCTCAGAATAGTCTGTGCTATTTAATGGGGCACTTACAGAGCAAGAAGTCTTTCCATGCTGGGACAGAACAGCTTACATCAGAAAGGCTTTTGGCTGCCAAAAACAAAACTAAAAAAGGCAGAAATCACATCTCAAGATTCACAGATTGTATGTTTCATTCAAGATTACAGGATAAATATCTGACCGATGCCTGCACACTAAAGGACCCAAATGGGTCCTTCCTTTCTTGACTGATCACAACACCCTTTATCACAGCCTCTGACTACGTGATTTCCACTCCTCCTAACAGCAGTTTATAGATAATCTGCTAGTGGTGGATATATAGGGAGTGAGACAAGATCTCATGCATAAAAGCTATTTCTGTCCCCAGAATAGTCTTATCACACAGATATGTAAATACCAGTCCCTGCTGCTCCTGCTGCCTTGTGGAGCTGGGAACACACAGCAGCACTTGCAGACTGCTGATTTTGGAGGGCTGAATTCCATGCGGGGCGCTCATGTTTTTTCCTGGCTCATGCAGTTTCCACAGCACAAACTTGGAGCACAGTTACGGAGGATAAAGTAGATGCAGTCATATAAATTCCGTGTGTA